TTAATAGATTTTAAAATCTTTTAAAAATTAGGGCTAAAATAAATTTGTTTTTCCTTACCAGGAAAAACAGATAGTAAAAAGTACATGCATAATTTAACATAAGAGGCATTTTTATCACAACTAGAAGCAAAACATGGTTCTAGAAGTCCTGGCCAATGTAATAGAGCATTAAAGAGAAATGAGAGACACACTAATGGAAATAAGAAGATAAAATAATCATTAACAGCAAATATCTTGTCTCCTACTTCCTGGAGAAAATACAAATGAGGAATCCCCCAACTCTACCACTAAAAGTATAGACTTACTTTCCCCCACATTTTCCTCTTTCCATGTGGGTGCAATAGAATAGGTGTCCCTTCATCCTCCTTATGAGTAAAGGAAATATCCTAACCCCCTCTCCAATCCTTGAATCCTCTATCATTTCTTTCTCTTACATTCAATGGCTCTAATCCTCCTACCATTTCCCTTTCAAGGTCCCTAGCCCACAAGACCCTACCCAGTCAGGCTCTTTCCCATTTCAGCAATGCTAACTCTCTTTACCCCATCTCCTACTACGCCTCCTCACTCACTCCACTCTGGCCCTGCTGGCCTCCTTGTTAAACTTCAAACACGTAAGCAGCTTCCATCTTAGAATCTCCTAACCTCCCTCTGCCTACACAAACATCAGCAAGCTTGAATGCTCACTTTCTTCATTACTAACATTCTATGTGTTTGTTTTGCTTATTGTAGGTTTCTCCCCCACTAGAATGTCACCTCCATGATGACAGTGACATTTGCCTGGTACACAGCAATCACTCAATAAACATTGGTTGAATGAATGAATCTATCAAGAGAAAGTAGTATTTATGGAACTTATCCAATTAGGACCAGAAGGCAAAAGTAAATTGCATGAGCAGTGACATATATCCCAGCTTGTTTCTCTCTGCCATTTTGTCAGCCCTCCATCAACCCAAGCCTACAGTCACACCTGGGATTTCCCTGTGAATGGTTCCCTTAGGGTGAAAAAGAAAAAAATGAGCCTAGTTCTCAGCTGGCATCATCTAGAGCAGCACGCTGCAATGCAAAAGCCCCATTTTTGGGGTTCCTGAAAGGTTGTGGGGTCAGTAAGTTTTCCCTGTGGGAAGAATTTCTAGCCCACTTTGCATGAACAGAGAAGTGGGGTGCAAGGGCTGATCCTCACTGATTAATGGGAAGTAACCAAAGAATGATCAGGGGCTTAGAAGGGACAAGACTGGGAGACTGTTGACAAAAGGGCATAAGGGAGAAGCATGTAATGAAACTTCTCAAAGGAGCTCAACGTGGAAGAATATTTTTCCCATGTCAATTCTTTCCAAAAAGCCCCTACTGCACTGGAGCTGATTAATATTCTGATCAATAAATCTCTTTTCTCAGCCATCCCAGTATTTGCATGATAAGCATTTGTTGAATAAATTAAGAAATGCAAATGAAATGACTACATAACTAAAATACCCAAGAGAATCAGTTAAAAATATTTTCATCTGTCAAATGCAGAGTAAGATGGTTAATTAAAAAATTAAAATTAAAATAGCAGCTATTACACAAATCAGCAATGAGCAGTCAGAAAATGTAATGGAAAAAACCCTATTCAAACCACAAGAACAAACAATAAATATGAATACCCCAACTAGAAATGCTTAGATGCTATATAACGACCCTGAAGAATTTTACTAAGAGATACAAAGAAGATTTGAGCAAATGAAAGGAGATAGCATCCAGGTCCCTGGATTGGAAAAAATAGTAAATATTTTAAAGATACTGATTATTCTCCAATGAATCTAATGAAGTTAAAATAATTCTAGTGGCAATAGTTTTGTCTTTACAAAATTATTCTGAACTTTGCCAGACAAGTAGAAAAGAACCCCTAAGCAAAAATAAGTAATGGGGGGAGGACTATATCCCTGACAAATAGATATCAAAGCAAATCATAAAGCCATAAAAGTAAAACACTGTGGAACTGACACAATAAAACAGAAACAACATTCAAAAACAGATTGTGGTAAGAATGCAATATAAGATAAAGGAGACTGAGTGGGAAAAAAATTACTTTAGCATACACGAAAATAAATTCCAGATAAATAAAGAGACAAATGCTAAAAAATAAAGAATGAGGCCAGCCCAGTGGTATAGTGGTTAAGTTCACCTGCTCCACTTTGGTGGCCTGGAGTTCGCAGGTTCGGATCCCAGGCACAGACCTACACACCACTCATTGGGCCATGCTGTGGCAGCGTCCCACATACAAAATAGAGGAAGACTGGCATAGGTGTTAGCTCAGGGAGATTCTTCCTCAAGCAAAAAGAGGAAGATTGGTAACAGGTGTTAGCTCAGGGCCAATCTTCCTCACCAAAATAAAATAAAATAAAAATAAAGTATGAAAAGGAGGACGATTTTGCTGAATATTTACTTTTCATTAAATTTAAATGTATAAATTTTATAACCATAAAGGGTAAAATTTCTATACATTAAAAATAATATAACCAGAATATAAACCACCAAAAGGACAGAGACTTTGTCCTACTCACTGCTCTATCTCCAAAGTTTAGAATAGCGGCTGGCGCACGTAGATTTGTAAGGAATTTTACTTTTTTCAAATGACAGCATTTGAGTCCATTCCTTTGGATCAAACTTAGTATAGATTTTTTTAACGCTGAAAAACAGTTAAAGGGTCAGACCCAGGACCTAGTGGTTAAGTTGGGCACACTCGGCTTCAGTGGCTTAGGTTCACAGGTTCAGATCCCAGGCACAGACCTACACCACTCATCAGCCACGCTGTGGCAGTGACCCACATATAAAATAGAGGAAGACTGGCACTGATGTTAGCTCAGGGCTAATCCTCCTCAAGCGAAAAAGAGGAAGACTGGCAACAGATGTTAGCTCAGGGCAAATCTTCCTTAGCCAGAAAAAAAAAAAAGTTAAAATTATCTGCAATTTCTACAAAAAAAGTCAGCTGGGATTCTGATACAGATTGCATTGACTCTATGGTCTGTTTGGAAAGTATTGCCATCTTAACATTAAGATTTCCAATCAGTGAACATGGGATGTTTTTCCAATTATTTAGATATTCTTTAATTTCTTTCAACATTGCTTTGTAGTTTTCAGAGTATAAGTTTTAGTCTTCTTTTGTTAAATTTATTCCTAAGTAGTGTATCTTTTTGATGCTATTGTAAATTGAATTGTATTCTTTCATTTTTTGATTGTGATAGAAATACAATTGATTTTTGTATCTTGTTTTTTTTTTTATTGTTCTGTTGAGGTCACATTGGCTTACGACACTGTGTAATTTCAGGTGTACATTACTATATATCAGTTTCTGTATAGACTGCATCATGTTCACCACCAACAGTCTAGTTTTTTCTGTCACCATACATATGTGCCCCTTGATCATGTATTCTACAACCTTGCTGAACTCACTTAGTAGTTCTAATAGTTTTTCAGTGGATTCCTTAAGAATTTATTGATCATATCATCTGCAAGTAGAAATAATTTTACTCCATCCTTTCCAACATGGATGCCTTTTATTTCTTTCTCTTGTCCAGTTTCCCTGGCTAGAGCGTTCAGTACAATGTTCAACAGAAGTGGCAAGAGTGGATATCCTTGTCTTGTTCCCAATTTTAGAGAGAAAGCATTCAGTCTTTCACCATTCGGTATGACGTTAGTTGTGGGGTTTTCGTACATGCCCTTTATCAGGTTGGAGAGACGCCCATCTATTCCTAGTTTATTGAGTGTTTCATGGTAGGGTGTGGGATTTTTTCAAATGCTTTTTCTAAGTCTATTGAGATGATCCTGTGATTTTTGTTTTTCTTTCTCCTGACATGATACATTACATTACTTGATTTTGAGATGTTAAACCACTCTTGCATTCCTGCAATAACATTGATTCTCAAACTCATATAGAATTTCAAAGGACTCAGGATAGCCAAAACAAGATGAACACAGTAGAAGGACTCATAATTCCCAATTTCAAAACTTACTACAAAGCAAGGGTAATCAAGACAGTATGAAATGCACAAATATAGACATATAGACCAATCGAATAGAATTGAGAGTCCAGAAATGAACCCATATATCTAGGGACAATTGATTTTTAAGAAGGACAACAAAAGCATACAATGGAGAAAGAATAGTCTTTTCAACAAATGGTGCTGAGACGAGTGGATATCCACATGTAGAAAATAAAGTTGGACCTGACCTCATCCTGTATACAAAAATTAACTCAAAATAGATCAAAAACCTAAACATAGGAACAAAATTATAAAATTCTTAGAAGAAAACATAGGGGTATATCTTCATGACCTTGGCTTTTACAAATTATGAGGTATGATTTTTATGAGTGCTTAAATCTTAAGCATTCAAAGCAACTGAGAGGAAAAGCAGTAAAATTCTCAAAAAAATGGGGAAAGATAAAAATAGCCAAATCACAAAAGAAGAAATACAAACACCAAATAAACATGAAAAAACTTCAACACATCAGTTGCTAAGAAATAAAAATGAAAACAAAGCTCATTTGCCTATCAAGTCCTAAAAAGGACAAGCATAGCTCATTAGATGTAGATACAGATATGGATATAGATATAGACACACATACACTATACATATGCATACAGACATTAAATGGATGTTGAATCTTGCTACTTAAAAATATCCCCAAACAAACACACATATACAAGAAGGAAGTATACCAAAGGAATATTAGTAGCTATGCTATATTTTACAATTATATAGCTGTATTACAATGAGACTATTATTTTCAAGGCATAAAAAATAGATGTTAAAAATCTATATGCAAATAAGGCTTTCCCTTTACTGTACCCAAATGAATTAAAAGAACAATGAAGTAGGGAGCACTGGAGGGAAATTTAGGCAGCTATCCAGAGCAGAATGATCACAAAAACATTTCTGTTGCTACAACCCAACATCCAGAAATGGCGGCAATAGGTACCATTGATGTACTCATCCATGTAGCAAATACCCTCATTCATTACCTGCTTTGGAAGTAACAAGCTGCAGCACAAGAGGCCGTCTCGTTACGATGCCTGACCCTCGAGGGAGAAAGTCCCTAAAAAAAAAAAAAAAGAAGGAATAATAGATTAAGGCATTTTAAGGAATTCTGATCACCTACAAATTTACAAGTCAAGTTCCATAGTAATTCTCCTAGTTCCCAGCCTTTCCATGTATCACATGTCTAAAGAGTGCTAGATCTGCTCATCTTATATAAAAAGCATTTGCAAAGTTAAAAAAAAAAAAAAGAGGGGAAGGGCCCTCTACATTGAATATTAATCCATGAGCATTATCATAATGACCTCATTGGAATACATCATTCATTTAGCTGAAATTAATAAAAGCTTGCAATAAATTATTATGTATTGTCAATTCACTTTTATTTTCAGAACATCAGCATTTATAAAAACATTTGATACAGAAATTAATCCTTAAACTCTTTTTGGTAAATAAAAAATTCAGTAGTCTGTCCAACTTCAGGATCAATATAACACCATTAAATACTGACCATTATTAGTGGTAATAAAGGCACATTAGATTGTATCTTCAAAATATCCTGAATTTTTTCTCCAGTAAAAAGTCACACATAAAATATGGGATTAAGTAGAGGTAAATATTGTGTATGTAGAAATTAACAGCAGAAAAAAAATTGCAATTTGTGTTTTTGTTTGTTCTCATTCCTGATAGATGGGAGTTTACTAAAAAGGGAGTTTTTAAATAAAGATTGTTTTTAAAATGGCATGTTAATATATACAAGACCAATAAAACTACAGCAAGGACAGTATTTTATAATTACATCCGCAATGTCACATAAATCAGTACTGATTCTGCAATATCAAAGAATTCATAAGCATACCTATAAGCTTTTAAACACATTTAGAATGCATCACAACTTTTAGAAGAATCATCATTTTAAAAATCACAAAAGTCCATTGAAAATAAATTTTTGACTCAATGGCAGTGTTTCTGAAATAGTCATTCTGGGACCATCAGAAACTGTTATAACCACGGACAGCCAGGACCCATCCTGAACCTACAGATTCAGAATGTTCAGGGGAGCGTGTGCAGTCTCTGCCCTCTTAACAAGCTCCAGGGGATCCTGATGTTCATCACAATGTGAAAACCACCTGCCTCAAGTCAGGATACGTTGCTCAACAATCAGCATGGTGTGTTCTATGAGTTTTGCAGGAAATTTGGCAGAACAGAGCTTCAACACAGATGGGATTTCAATGAACAGCAGCTTAGGAAATAGATAAAGGCCAATAAGAATACTGCAAAACCCAAGCCTTCAGCTCCCCTGATACTTTAGAATGGAGAGTTACAGAGAAAACAATGATGCAAAATTTCCCCTATTCCCACCAATTTATTTTGCAAATGCTACTGTACATTCTGACAGAGGAAATAATACTGAACAGCATCTTAACTAAGTTAATGACTTTACTCCTTAATTCCAAGGGCTAAGTTTCATTTGGAATGTCATTGTAAGTGAATAAAATAGAGAATAATGAAACTACGGACTTGTATTTGCTCTAAAAAATGTGACCCTAAATAACTAATATTATTTATTCATCAAAAAAAAATGTTCTAAGAAACTAAGAAGTGCTAGGGAGATGCTGTGAGCATGGCCCTGCACTAGGAGGACACCAGGAATTTGAAATCTCATGAGCAGATAAAGACATGCACATAGAAAACCATTAAAGAAGGAAACAGATAAACTACATTGGAGTTCAGAAAAGAGGCAGATCGATACTCTCCTTCATATCTAAATAGATATAATTAAATACTCTTTTAATATTCTCCAAGAACTATATTAGAATATGCGCTAGTTTGGATGGTTTCAGTAATCATTTAAAGTTTAACCAAAGCAAGCAGAGCATCTACTCTGTGCCTAGAACCAAAAAGGAAGAAGATAAGTTGAGAAACAAATGGATAAAAGGAAAATAAAACAAAACAAAACTTCAGAGCAAAGAGCTGGAGAACATCTGTTTGAGATTTTAGGAGCGTGAATAAGGTTTTAGGATATATAGATGCCAAAGAGAAATATACAGGTTATAAATGTCTGCATAATGCCCTTTAAAGAATCAAAATATTTTCTTCAAAAACAATAAAAAGAGAAAGAGAGAGAAAAAGGAAGGAAGGAAGGAGGGAAAGAAGGAGAAGAAAGGAGGTTTAGTTACTTAATATCTTCAGGCTGGGATCTGTTTCAACTCAAGCTATGACCATATATTTTTAATGCAGATTTAATAACAATCCCTTTGAACATTATTAAAGCAAAATAGAAGGTAGCAAACATTTTAAATAGCAAATAATCATCATGTGTTTGGCTGAAAAGCCCACAATACATCTAAATATTTTCTCTGCTTTTTTACTAAGTAAATAGAACTTTGCATTAAAAGTGATAAATGGATTCAGGTACCCAACCCCTTTCTTACTAATTCATACTTACTGACCCCCTTCGTGGCTCTCACCAGTCCTCCTACCTCCAACATATATTCTCACCAAAAGTCAAAAGAATTGGTAATGACATCTTGCTATTTGGAAGTCTCTCCTGACTTGACAAAAGTCGCTGAAGCGCAACAAAGCACTAAAGAGAAATTTCTCCCTTCTGAAGAGTGAGTGGCTAATCTGGCATCCTGAAGACTCATGTCATTCTACGATCCAGCAGCATGAGAACCACGTGCCCAGCACACTCCTGCTGTGAGGGCTAAGGGGTGAGGCCTCAAATGAAACACAAAGAACCTCGCTTTCAGCCCCAGCTCCACCACTGAGTGGGCAAAATTGTCTCTGAACCTCAGTTTCTTTTGCTACTAAACTGAGACAATCCTATGGGTCAAATGAAAAGCGTCATAAGGCAACTTTTTTAAAAACCCAAGCCTCACAGAAAAAAGGAGTACTATTACTTTTACCATTGTTACAATATAGCCACAGTGTATTTTCCCTATATTGCAGCATTCTCTCATCTTTAAAAAAAGGCTCTACACACAATATTTTAACATTTCACAAATGTAATTTGGAGATGGGGAGCCTCAGACTGCACCTGAACTGTCCCCCCTTGCTGTTGACAAGCTGCACCGCTTTGGAAAGCTCAGTTTCTTATGCTTGCTCCATCAACAGGGAGCCAAGGCACTGACACAAACAATCATGAATAATCCATTAGCCACTGAGTGCAACCATTTGAATTTTATTATTTTCACTATAATAGGTGGTTGGTTTTCCCATAAGTACATCTTATGGGAAAATTACTTTGCTAAATTAATGCAGAAAAAATAATGACTGTACCTTTAGTATTACTGTGAATTTAAACTATACATTTTTTAGTATATAGTCTAATATATAGAAATAAAAAGAAAATTTGCAGGCCATTTTCCTCCAAAACGGATCTTCAAGGTAAAGGGTGAGAAGAGTAATCTGAAGACTAAGCATTATTAAATTGACTCCATTCTATTGCCTGAACGCCTTATTTATGGTTGGACTGCACAGATTTTCAGGCAAGAGGAGTGCTTCCCTCTCTGCCACATAGCAGCTACAACTCAAATGCCTTTCTTCTCTCCCCACCCCACCTTAATAAAGCACTAATCTGCACAGTCTTAACAGCTGGTCTTCCAGAAATAAGTCAATGCTTTTTCATGATTTCTTGACTCCTGCACAAAAGTAGAGGACAATTCCCACACTGTGGTCTAAGAACCATCTCGATAATATTTCTTATTGGCTCTTCCAGAAACTTAGTTACCGAGAAATATTATTGCTCCACTAGAAAATGACTGACCTTTAGAAGACTAAAAAAGGAGAGCACACTTGCTGTATCAATAAAGCTAAAAGGAAATTTCTCCCTTAGCAGCAAAGAAAGTAACCACAGAGATGCTTTTATTCACTATAGATGTAAATAATCCTTAACTAGATGATCTGTTCAATAAATAAATATTTAACATCTGCCCTTGACAGAAGATGAGACGCATAACTCATACTCTCCAAGGAGTTAATTCGTGTAGCTCATTCACTCAAAGATAAATAAGCTTAGTCTTAGAGGAGAACAACATGCACACAATTACAATAAGCGTGAGAGGTACTCTGGTTAAGCTCCACACAAGGAGAAGCACTGACCAAGAGCAGGGAATAATCTGTTCTGCTTGGGGGACTGGCCAGAAACAATTTCAGAGAAGAGACGTGGTAGGAAGCATTCCACAAGGGATCAGGATGCGCAAAGACATGGAAGATCAAAGCAACACAGAACATTAAGGAACTGTGGACTAAAGAAAGGTCAGAATGAAGTGGAGAACAGTCTGGAGAAGGAAGCAGGAGCAGACCTTGGGGGCCTTCACATGCATTTTTTTCCAAGTACCTAGGAATCATCCATCCTCCATCTTCCTCTGTCTTCATGCTCCAGAATCGTCACCAAGTCCTGCTCATTCTACCTTCTTAATATCCCTTAAATGCATCCTCTCCTCTCTATTTCAATCACCACTCTAGATGTCACCAACTCTCATACAGACTATCACAATAACCTCGCAATTAATTTCCCTGCACCCAATTTGAGCACCCTCCAATCCATCCTCAACAGTGACATAAGTCCCATCCCACCATTTCCAGACTCTAAAATTAGAGTCATTAAATGACTCCCATTGTTTAGTATGAAATCCAAACCATAAACAAAGTAGAAAAACAGCCCTGCCCTCTAGTGTGGTCTCTGTGTGCACCTGTGCTCTCAGGCTCGGTGCCTTGGAGCACTCCATGCTCCCCTCATGGGGTGCCCTCCCCACACTTCTCCCTCTAGCCAACTCCTACTTAATCTTCAACACTCAGATCCATGTCATCATGTCTGAGAAGCCTTCTTTGGAACCCCCTGTACATGCCTCTACCTAAGCTCTCAACACACACTTGTCATACTGGTCTAGTTACGTCTGCTCCCTAACCTTGTGTTCCCCCCAGTGTTGCCTTTAGTGCCCAAGTATTAAATATTTTTAATACTTTCTACCTACTCTCTCAGGAAGATTTCTCCTTGTCCTGTATATTCATAACAGGGAAGGAAAACAATCCCATGTCTGAGTCCCCGATAGGCAG